TTTAAGCGACATGATCTTGATGCATTGTTTTTAGCTACCAATGCTCATGGAAGAAGTGCGTATAGCAGAGTAGAGCGCAGAATGGCTCCTCTTAGTCGGGAACTGGCTGGTTTAATATTGCCTCATGACCATTTTGGGTCTCATTTGGATGAACGTGGCGTTACAATTGATGGACATTTAGAAAGATCTAATTTCGAATTTGCAGGAAATGTATTAGCTGAAGTATGGTTCAATGGAACTTGATGGCTATAATGTTAATGCAAAATATGTTGGGGCAGGTGAACAAGATCTTCCTGATTTTACAGACATTAAACGGTATTCACAACATGTGCGTGAGAGCCAATACTTGCTTCAAATTGTAAAATGTAGAATTACAGGATGCTGTCGTCCAAGAAGTGGCCTATTTAGATTACTGGACAATAGGTTTCTTCCACCACCTGTAAAAGTAAAACTAACAGTTGATGACTTGGTTTTGGATGAAGGAGGGCAATTTCTTAATCTTCCAGTCAATTTAGCTCTACGCTTAAGTGCTTCACTCAAAGATTTCCTGCAAATGCCCTACGATTATTTTTATCCGACGGTGAAATTGAGGCTATCAAGTCGAACATGCAAAACGTGTGGTCTTTATCATGCTTCCGTCAAGTCACTAAATCGTCACATCGAAAATATACATAAAAAAGTAAACACGTACACTGATAGGAAAGTTAGACCTGTAGGAGTCGCTGCTCGTCGTGCTAATGAACTGATGTGAATTATTCAAAATTTAGAGCACCATGATGTTGAATGGTTCGATGAGAACGACGTAGACATTCCAAACTCCGATGAAAGCGAGCCAACTCACAACACTAAACAGCAATCCAATGTCATCGAAAACTTAGATGACATTGGATTTCATGGACCGAAGACTGTTAACTTGAATTTAATATATGTACCAAAAATTTGAAATAAGTTTGTTATGTTAGTAAGATATAATATTTATGTCCTTTACTCTATGTTGAATACCGTATCAGTAAAATATAATCTCTATCCTAAATCTACGTATTTTCTTATTTTTCAAATTATAATTAAAACGTTATAATTATAATATTAAAAAAAAAACAATACATTAATTGAAAAATGTGTACGTAAGCATGGGGGGGGGGTAAGAGCTTTGCTTACTTTTGCTGACAAGGGGGATGGGGGGGTAAATAATTATAATAAATCTGGTTACGTAATACTTGAACGGCCCCTATGCGCCACGCGCACAATATCCAAGATTTCGTCTTCTGAATTTGAAATGCGTTGTGGGCACAAATCTCCACTAGCACTTGCACGTAGATCAATTGAACTAAATGTTCCGGGATGTGGTACGTCCACTAACTCCTCAGTAGTGTACACATGTGCCATTTTTATTAATAAATAACTAAAAACATGAACTCAAAAAATACTTTTCTATTTAACACGCTCACGAAGACAATGCATGGAGTAAAACACGACTGTAGCCGATAATCGTTTTTTTCGTTTTTTTAGTGCAAATGTACATTTTCTCTAATATAATTTCTAGAAAATGTGTAAGTGAGTATTATTTTGAGTTTTGAATACCTTTTTCAATACGTACCAACGGTGGTACACGACGGCTTTGATGATTCTTTTTTGATTATATCCGTAGTGAACACAAGTGGTGTCAAAAAGGCTAGAAATAAAACCAAGCGTGTCTCTACACTTTGTAAAGATGGTCCAGACCAACCGACACTATATCTTCAATGTTTTGATGAAATTCATAAGTAAAGTTATGTTACCTACCTAAATAATATGTATAAGTGCTTACTTCCATTGTTAAGAAAAATACTTTTGCGTTATTTTTCACTAATTCTTTTAACCGCTTACTTAGCTTAGTTATTTCATATGGTTGTTACAGTGTGTTTTATAAACACAGTCTTATGAAAATCATGAATTTTCATAGCTCTAATTAAATGTCATATAAAATTCACAATTATAGCCAAACGCGGCACCGGTGGCGCACTTATGTGTACTTACTATATCTATAGCTGTATACCGAATATACAATTCCTTACTATCAGCCGTAAGGATTGGTAGCGCGTGAAATAAACAATTGAAAGTGTACTACCGGTGACCAATGACGATTTTTAGCAAGATAGGCGATGTACCACCGGTGTACCAGGTCGTCGTGAACGTGTTAACTTTACAAAAATCGACCGTTCTTCATTCAGGTCACCCACGATACAGATTAAACCTCATTTACATGTTCTTATCAGTATGAAAAAACAAAAAATTCCTGGTATTTTGTTTTCGTCAGTTGTTTCGTACTACATTTGCTACAATAAATTATTAATGCGAGTTCTAGTATCACGTCGATGAACGCAAAATACAGATATTTATTCTTCAATCTATTATTGAAACTCAGGTTTATAACTTAATTTCTGTAAGACTTTTATTATATTTTTTTTTGAAAATCAACTATTTTCGTAACAGTGCATATGTGGTTAAAATTTGTCGGATAAGTAGTGAAGCATCCTGTATACAGGGTGTTTCAACGGAAGAGGGATATTTTTCAAACGGGGATAGGAACCACTGACGGGATTATGGATGCCCTGTGGTTGGTGGGTTTTAGCTTCGCACAACCGAGATCGATTTTGTACATTGTTCAGAACTTATCACTCGGCCTACCTTATAGGTTCAACTGCCACCAGGTGAGAAAATACAGGTCGGGACTGATTAAAAATTTACAAATACGTTCTACCCGAAAACAACAGCTTCTTTTGTGGAACTTCTAAATTTCTTTTATATGTATATTGGAAAAGAATACAAGAAGTTTGTTTTAACGATTCACTTTTGTTTTTATGCAGACGATTCCTATGAGCTGAATATACTAAATTTGTACACTTTGGACTGGAAAGCCTGAAGGGGCCATTAATTTTATTACTTATAACTTGAAGGAGAGGCGGTCTATAGAACAGGCAACCATGTCAAAAAAATCGATGGTTGGAACGTAAGATAGAAAAATTTTCGTGATACTGTTATTGATCCCTTCAGTAGTGACAATGTATTTATGTTTATTGGTTTTAAGTTGTTTACATCTGGTATGTGTTTTGTTTATTTTCGAGGAAAAGCACGTAAAAAGAGGGTCCCTTCTGGGGCATCGACTCGTTGGAGCCTTGTAATTAATAAATTTCCTGATAATTTTATTAACTCACGCGTTTTAACGGTTTATAACAATACACATGTTCGATGCTCCCTTGAGAGTTTTAAAGTATCGCCAGGTATTCTACAGCATTCGCAACATCCTATCCCTCCGCAACAATCAAGGTTGTATCAAAATACTCCGAGGGAATATGCTGAGTCACATTTCTTGCGTTGGGTCGTTCAGCTGAAATTATCCACTTACGATAATTGCATGGAGATAAGGGGAAGTAATCGTGTTAGAAAGGGTCGCGAAAGCGGTTGCTTCGCTTACATTCCAATAAAAATAAAAAATTGCCATAAGCGGATCTGCTGGTTCCCGTAGACGTACGGGGCGTGGCGACATTATTTTGTCTGCCTCGTTTCAGTTTAGATGCAGGCAGGTTTGTTCCTTTTTCGTGTTACTTTCCATGCAAATTGGCGAGGGAACATTATAACCCCGAAAAATTTCGTAAATGAAATATTGTCTTTTTACTTCTCACGCCTACAGGCGAGGAAGTATTGTAATCACTAAAAGTTTTGAAAATGAAATATTATGTTATTTGGATGTTACATGAAATGAACATTACGAAAAACCATGTTACTCAATTCCGTCGGCCTGTCTGTCTGTCGGTGTGTCCGCTAAACTCATAACCGCCTATAACTTGAGCAGTACCGCTCAGGTTTTGATGAAATTCTTACACGATGTCCGTTCTGACCCAGGACGGGAATGCTTTGTAGTTTTTGAAGATTGATCCAACTTCGTCATTTGTCGTTTTAAATGATACTTATAATTTTCGGAAAAAAAATGTTAGAATTAAAAATTGAAGGTTAGGGTATATGTATATGCCTCCAATTATTCTCTCCACCTATTGGGAATATTTCACTCATCTTGTCCTCGTTTATTTACCCTTAAAACTTAGAAATATCTCCAAGAGTCGTAGTTCCCCGATGTACCAGCGTCGTACGTCACAGTCGGTAATAGCTTGTGTGCACTGTGCATGATGAAGAACAATATCGTCATTCACGCGGGATTGGTCATCGCAACGACCATGTATGCTTGCAGGAATTCCTTTCAGGGGGAGGAGAAAGGTAATTTAATTTTTTTGTTATACAGATCCGTGACTCACTTTTAGTTCATAGTCAACTTACTTGTAATTTTTTGATTTCAACATGCAACGGACAAAGCAATGAAAAAATAAAAATTAAAGTCGCTAGATCAGTGTATAACGATCCAGAGACTCCTTCTATTTTTTATTAAAATTTTTATAGATTATAAATTCAGGTGGAGAAGTTGTGTATAGTGAGGTAGAGTATAACTCAATTGTTTGGCTTTAGTTTATTTATACGCTTCTATTCCCGGGAATTACCTATAGTACCTACTAGACATATTTCAACGCGGTTGAACCCTAGAGATCAGTCTTGGATCACACCATCTTAATGTTTTTAATCGCAGGCCAACAACTCTAACACAACCGCTGGACTTTGTGCCGTTCAGTTTTAAACTGAGCACCCTGCGTATTTATTCCGTTCAAAGTAATCGAGATCGTTCTCGAACAGACCGCTCACCGCAGTGTTGCCGCTGCTTGTGTGTATTATGCGAATTTACAAAATTTACGGAAGCTTCAATGATTTTTACACCTCTTGCCACCAGAATTGCCTTTGCGAGCTATCGGTAGCTCGCAATCAAAGGGTTGGCGGCCACTGGCCTAAAAGGTTCTGTAACATGCTGAGATGGGGCACATAACCTATTAAATGAAAGTATGGCGGTTCTGGAAGGCAACAAGTTGAATGTTTGGATAGGAGGAAAGGCTTTCAACTTGCATTTTTGTTTGTTGCAGGTACTGTGTAATTCTGGAGGTCTTCGCGAGATTCCCAAAAAGCTACTCCCTCCCACAGTTGAACATCTGTCATTAACACGAAATCACTTTCCTTTGATAAAAAGTGATTCATTTGCAGGATTAAGGTGAGATTGTGTGCAAGATTCAGACCAAAATGTGTATATGTTTACTTGTTGTATTTATAAACATTAGGTTAAGTTGTAGTATATTGTGCAAAATGTTCACTGGAGCGATGCCATTGTCAAATAATGGGAACGAATAGCTAGTTACAGATAAGTGTCACTGAAAAAAGACAACAAGGTAGGATCAGTGTCAATGCTCAAATAAAAATCAGGATATATTTTTTACGTTTTTACTTCCCCCGCCTACTGGCGGAGAAAAGTTAAGTCATGAGACTGATTTTTTTTTATTCAAATATAATTACGATCTTATATTGTCGCTCTCAAAATAACTGCCTTATGAAGCCACACAGCGCTGGAGACGGTTCTTCCACTCCTCGTAGTAGTGCTGGATCTCCGATACTGGAATAGCCTTCAGCTGGTCAGTTACAGCCATTTGAATGTTTTCGAAAGTCCCAGTTCCTTGAGGTAATTTTTCAACTTCGGTAAGCCCAAAAAGTCACAAAGGCTCGAGTCAGGCGAATAAGGAGGCTAAGGAGCCACAGCAAAGGCCAAAAGCTCGTTTATTGGCATTGCTGTGTGACAACAAGCATTATCATGCTACGTTGCCAGTCTCATCACTCAATTTACAGACCTTGTATAATGAACATTATGTTTTTTGTTGTTATATAACGTGTGCACAACGAATAACCATGTCACTCATTTCCATCGGTCTGTGGGTAACTCGGTCTGTTGGTCCTTCGGTCTGCCCGCGAGTCCACTATTCGCCATTTATTTGTCTGGGCGGTCCGTAGGACCTTTGCCCATTAGTCACTGTCTGATGTACGTTAGTCGAATCTGTCAGTCCTGGTTGCCCAGAAACCAGACAAAGTCAAGGAAAAATAGATAGGGAAAGAGAAGAAAAGAAGGAGAAGAACAAAGAAAAACAGATATGCTTAGTTTAAGAGGAAACACCTAGGCTTTTTAACTTGGTACACGGATTAATTTTGAGGTGAACTAAACAAATTTTTTGATTCGGTTTTGTTAGAGTGTAATTTTGTATTTACTAAAGATTCACGCTAACTTTTGATTACAGTGCGAGCCGTGGCCTTGAATATTTACGAACTCCACTGTGTAGTCCACTGAGTCACGCAACAGAAGGTTGCTGTGCGATTCCGCTTGACTATAACGTCGCTGCGCCGGAAGCTTGACATAATCCCTCAAGTAAGGAATGTCAAGGTCTCTGTGTAGTGTCTCATTTGAGACATACCATGGAGCGTTGCAAATTATCCGCAAAGTTCTGCTTTGCAGTACTTGAAGACTTTGCATGTGTGTCTTGGCAAGAAAACACCAAGCTGCACATGCATAAGTAATGGCTGGTCTAATAATCATTTTATATAGTCGAACTTTGTTTATCAAACTCAATTTGGAGGATCTACATAACAAAGGATATAGTTGCCGAAACGCAATTTGGAATTTTGTCTTTATGGATGCTGTATGTTTCTGCCAGGTCATGCCTTTATCAAGGGTGACACCGAGATACTTGGCAGAATTTGTCCATGGTACACGATTTCCGTCTACAGAAACCTCTGCTGGGGGGCCGCGACGTTTTTTGGTACAATAAATAGCCTGCGTTTTCGAATGATTAATTTTTATCAGCCACCGTTCCGCCCACTATAGAACTTCGTCCACCGCATTCTGCAACCCATCGTGAACCAGATCACCAGTACACGACTGGGCGACAAGTGCAGTGTCGTCAGCATAGAGGTAGACTTCACAGTTACTGGGGGAAGGGATCATCATGGATGAAAGCGAATAAAGAATTGGTCCTAGGACCGAGCCCTGAGGAACACCGGCTCGTACTGGCCGTGTTGTTGACAAAACATTGTTAATTTTGATCCGAAACTTCCTTCCTTCAAGAAAGGATTTCAGTAATTTTAGAAGCCAAAAAGGAAAACCCTTTTTTTGGATTAGTTTATAGAGGAGGCGCGCGTGGCACACCTTGTCAAAGGCTTATGAGACACCGAAAACCGAACTGGACGTCAGGAATCACATGGTGATTTGACGAAAAATTCTCAAGGTGACGATAAATCACCTTTTCGGTGAGCTTAGAAGGAGCTGACAGCAGACTTATGGGACGGTAATCCTGAGGAAATATCGAACCCACCTTCTTTGGAATCATGATGACCTCAGCAGTCTTCCACCCAGCAGGGAAGTACTGGATTTTGAGCGTCGCATTGATTATTGTCACCAAGTATGTCAGGGCTTTCGGCGAGAGCAGCTTCAACGCCTTGTTGGTGATTTGATCCTCCCCAGGTGCTTTACGCACCTTGAGGTCTTTAATATGACTTAGTAACTCCGCTGGAGTGCAATGTGGAAACTCGGAGGGTTCCGCTAATGTGCTATGTGGAGCCTCAGACGAATCTTCTGAAGAAGAGTCATCTGAAGAGGATTCACTGCTTCCGCTAACGCCGTTGGCTCTAAAATATCTCCTGACGGATCGTACGATGTGCTGTTTCTCGTCGAGGTCATTATCGAGATCATAGTTGGGAGAGAACTGTTTTTCCATGGCATTAGCGAAAATCTCGAACTTATCCTCCGTTCTGAAGACTGTGCCTTCAGGACCGTGGATGTGTGGGAGTTGTTCTCGCTTTCCGTTTCTGAGTGACTTTGCGACCCTCCAGAGAGGAATACTTGAATCAAGCATTCCCGCCAGAAAGTCGCTCCATTGCTCGTTGCGGAGTTCGTGCAGTGCGTTTCTCACTTCATGGACAAGATTGGTAGCCCTACGAATGTCATCAGCATACCCCGCGAATCTTATAGCCGCCTATAACTTGAGAAGTACGGCCCGGATTTCGACGAAATTTTATTACAAAATGTGACCACTATGCCAAGGATGCAAAAGCTATGCAGTTTTTGAAAATCGGTTCAGTGGCGGCAGAGTAAAAGGCCAAAAACGAAAAAGAATAAAAACTGCTCAAACTTCATTCTTTGACATTTCAGAGGATCCTCATCATATTAAAAAATAGCGATAAGAAAAATTGGGGATGGGGATTTTGTTATGTTTATCTCAATTTAAACTGTAATGTTAACATACTGAATGTCATATAAAATGCAACACCCGGAATTATTTATTGAATTTTGATAATAACATGTAACCATGTTTGCTATCATGGAAGTACAGTGCCTGGCCAAATTATTAGACGCACTGTAGATATCTCAACTATTTTGCGAAATATCGAGGTAAAGTTTTAATCACTTTCAATTTATCGGTACACCTGAATCTTGTAAAAGTATGCACAAAATTACATCACTCCTCGTCGGTGTTGCATTTTCTATGTCATCTAGTATATATGTATACGCCCCCAACCTCGGTAATTCTATGCACCTATTAGACATATTTCGCATATCATAGGTTTCTCCCTACATTAGCCCTTAAAGCTTACCGTACCTACTGCTGCTTCCGGTGGCATGCCACAGCAAAGTGTTTCATATGCTAAGACCGCGCGGCCACGTCTGAGAGGGTTAAGTATCGGGTTGAGGCGACGTTTCCAGATGCACTACCGGTAAGGTAGGGAAAATATGTCTATGGACTAATAGTATGGAATAATAGACTGACACTTTTCTTAGAGGGTCTAGCTTGTGCTGAACATAATCCTATATGAACTGATAATGGCGTTGCGGGAGAAGTTCAGAGTCAACCTACTTGACGCCATTTTTTGTTATTGTTTTGTTAACCATGATGATTTAAGAAGACATGCCAACCAGCTAGTATAACCAGAGTGATTCCCTGTATTGCTTTGAATAATTATTAACGAGGTTTGCCTTTGGAAACTTTTTATGTAGGAACCTAAGTGTGTAAACTATTGTGTAAGTAGTCTCGGAATTCCAGAAACTTTCGTATAATCACGACATTTATACTGCACAGCGTGGTGTTTGAATTTGGGCCAAATAGCTCCCGCTTGAGAACAAACTCATAACGTGGCCGTAAGTAAAGTTTGATTGTTTCGGCAATTGTGGATTGAATAACATAATCATGAAAAATGTACAGGGTGTTCCATGGGGTGAGCGAAATACATCAACCGTCGGTAGAGGATACTGAGATTAATATAAATCAACCATATGGTTAATGGTTCCTCAACCACTAACAACTGAGAATAAGTACTGTGTAACCACTTGAAAAAATAAGAGTTTTTGAATAATCTAACTTTTGACACTGTGCTGCTGGAATCTCATGCAAACCTCGGCAACCAGTCCACAGTTGTCAAAGGCGCAGTATGATGTGTGTGACGTATTTGATGCTATTGATATTAAAAGATGTTTTAATTGTTGCGGTTTCTCTCCAAAAGAGTGTAAAAGTAAGAAGTTTCATTGTCCGCGGTATAGTGAAAATCATTTAGTCAAAAATTGTAAAGCAACTTCGCTGAAATGTATAAACTGTATAAAAAGTAATAATGAAAGGAATACCGAATTTGATGTGGCGCATGCTGCTTGGGATTCTAGGTGTCCTTACTATTTACAGCGAATTGAAGAGTTTAAATCCAGGTTGATTTTTTCCTGATTCCGAACTCTCGTACAGCACACTCCTCATTTCCTGTTAAAGAAACTCTTTCTGTATATTACCAGAACGTTCGGGGATTAAACTCCAAATGTCAAGATTTCCTTCTCAATGTAACAATATCTGATTATGACATCATTTGCTTTACTGAAACTTGGCTGCAATCAGGGGTACTCAATGCAGAGCTATTTACAGTCCAGTACTACATTTTTAGATCTGATAGAGACTTAGTTAACCTAGAATGTACAAGAGGAGGTGGGGCTCTAATTGCCACGAAAGACTGGCTGAATTCGTCTGAAATTGATACAACTGCTGTTAAGAGTGATATCCCCTGTATAGACCTGGTAGGCGTTCTGTTTACCATTCAATATAAAACCACATACATATTTGTGGTCTACATACCACCCAATACTAGCGTTGTATGTTACGAGCGCTTATTTGAGCATCTAGAATCTTTCACATACCTCTC